CAAGCCCACCAGTAGCCAACCCCCGGGAGACCAAATGCCGTCGGCAGCGAACGCGCAGGTCAAAGTTCGCGCCCCCAAAACGGGTATACTGCGCAGCAGACGACAACACTAGCTAACTCAAGACCACCAAACGCAGCAACTACAATAGTCTGAGGATTGAAACGAGAAGAGTTCAGAAACTTCAGTTCAAATATAATGTGGTCCACGAACCCGCCCCCTCTTCTTTTTCTCCTTTAGGAGCTTGAACGCGATAACTTATCCTGACCCCGATTCTTTACGCATACCATTATATTTATGATAATGATGTAATACCGTACTTTCGCATAGGTACAAGATAAAAGAACAGACACGTGTTTCGCCGGTGTTTCTGCTGGTGCATGATACAGCATCGATCGATTCGGCTAATCAGTGGTTCCCCCAACGCCGTCTTTGCGGTTTCTAGTATATGACCTCCAGGTAATAATCAAGGGAATAATGGCAAAAAATTATTAAGTATATGACATGGAAGTAGGTGGTCGGGACAAGACTTTAAAGGGCCAGACCCTATTCATTTGCTGGCCTGAGGTAAGAATAAAATCTAAGTTGGATTATCACGAGCTTTAAGTGTATGTACCTCTTTTGCAGGTATTCTGCTTATTACCACTCCGTACTTATAAGATAGGACAGGAGAAGTCTCTAATATTTATTAACTTTGGACACTTTTTATGTTTTGATTGAAGTCAAATTTAGTCTGATATTTGAAATTAGCTCACAATTTTTACTGAGAATTGGAACTGTTTTCTTGAATAGAAATGCAATAACAATTTTGCATTTCTAATTACCCTTTCGCTGTAGTTAAATTTCGTGAAAACCCTTACCAGCTAATACAACATTTTAAAAATGCAGTTCGCTCAAGCATTGACGATGTAAGAACGCTGTATCTTTAGAGACTCTGGTATACCGAGTGACCCCTTCTTGAGCAATCTAATGCCACTTTATATGCAAACGACTTAGGTAAGGGTTTAAGGGCCTAGCGTCATAATAACCCCTCAAGTAATATTAAGAAATAGTGTTCTTTCCATTTGATAGGACATGTATTCTTGTGTCTAGGTTGCGTTTGCGATTGCGATTGCATAGGACACAGGGAACAATAAAGTATTGCAAACTGTAAGTTTCACCTAGATGAAAGTGGGCGGATTACTTAATCAACACGTCCCATGTCTGCCTGCATGTGGCAACAACGGGCGTATAGCTAAAAAAACCACTTCCTCCTGGTTGGACACAGAAGACCAAATTATTAGTGGTGGTGGGGTTGAAAAATAAATCATATATATTAGCACCTACACTGTTAAGTTCATTTTAAAACGGTATAAGGATGGCGCTTTCCTGTGGCACGCAATTCATTAAGTACCTTCTCTTCATATTCAATGTGCTGGTTTTCGTAAGTGTAGTTTTTATTGCAGCTTATTTTTTCAACCACTCGTGCCCATCTTCAAGACTTTTGAAATAGACATTCAAATTTAACTTCCTGTGAATAAGTGTTCCTTATCATAAATGAAACCAAAAATATTTTCCAGCCATATGTTTACTGTGAGAGTCAGGTAGAAGAGAAGTGTGGAAAAGTTGACGAGTTCCAACATTCCTGAGTTTAACTCGATTTCCTGACGAGCCTTCCTTCTTCATCTATAATCTCGGAATGCATACTGCTTCCTTTATTCCTAAATAAATATATTCCCTGTGGAATGGGTGCATAACAACGCACTTAGCTTCCCGAAGTAAACGAACTTCAAACAGACATGTTTCGGGCCTACTTGCCTTCATTCAGCCAACAAAGCCCTGACTTCCAGTTGTTACATTGTCATGCGCACATACGCATGTCACAGATAGTCCACCATACGAAGTTCGTTTAGTTTGGGAGGCCGACGGGATCGGTTTTGTGCCCAGATATGCGGCGACAGAGAATCATAGATTGGAGGCAGTGATAGATTTCAGTTCGATTAATTGGTTATGACCCATCTCGTAGACCCCAGTGGTAAAACATCTGCACTAGACCTGTGTGGTCATGGTTGTGTTTCCGGCGCCAGCTGTTGGTCAGGATAAGGTTTGGCCGAATTAAGGCTTATAAGCCTAAAAAATATTCGTATGGAAGCCGACAGACAAATCAATCATTTTTAAATACTATGGAAAACGGGAGGCTTGCATAGCCAAGACATATACTTGGCTTTTAATATCGCACATTGCTGTTGGACAAAAACATTTTCCAGTTGGCCTTTGCAATCCGCAGGTTTTTGAAACAAGTGCATGCTTGAAGACAGAATAATATTTCTTTCATTGTCCTAACTGTTGCAGTCCGTGATATCCACTATGAAAAAATATCCCAATTTGTCTTTGCCATGAAAATTCGAAATAAACGATCATATGGGGTGTTAGGGTTGATTGTGTGCTCGTGAATGAACCATTGGAGTTCACCTAACATTCCACACGTTTCTTACATTCGTGGCTTAAGAAAGCCGGTGAAAAGACTTAGCTATAGTTGACCGACTTTATTTTTCTATTTCAAGATGGACTATTCAGACTAGTGGAATGGTGTAATCAGATGTCATAGTGAACTAAGTGTTTTTTGCGCACAGCATTGATAGAGATGACGCAGAGATTGAAAAGTGTCGTTCTAAAACCCCACAATGGCCACTGGTTTTCTTCATTAAATACCAAACTTTGATCAAAATGCTATTTACTCAAAGGAACCTACGTAAAACATGACACAAACAGGTCAAGTTATAACTGCTCGTTTGCTAAAATAGCCATGTTCATCGTAATTTATCTATTGATTTCAAGTCAGGATGTTGCCTTAGTCGGAGGCCAGGGAATCTTTTTGAGCGAAATAAATTGTTTTCACCTCTGCTAGTTTTAAGTGGCAAAGGTTAAGTATAGTAGTTAATCACAGTATACCTTACTTATGGCAACGTTTTTACGAGTTAAGGTCGTGTAGTATTCGTTCAAATCCGATTGAGAATTTTGCGTCAATTAAATCGCCGAGGCTATATGAATCTCATTTGCTGATTATATCTTCATTACAGCTCTTCGGTGTTCTCATAACCGGATTTGGCATCTACTTCATTGTGGAGGCAAAGAATAGTCTTAGTAGTCAAGCAATTGGCGTCCCGGCCTTCATCCTAACACTCGGCCTGCTTTTGTTCCTAATCGGATTTTTGGGTTGTTGTGGAGCCTGCAAGGAGCATACATGCATGCTTAAAACAGTAATGTTTTTTTTTCAAAAACGTTTACGTCATTTGTTTAGTTTGCTGCAATTATTATTATTTTGTTGATTCTCCAAATTGTTGCTGGCATATTGGTCTTCGTATACAGAAGCAAGGTAAACACTATTAATCTTTCAAAATATGGTAAAATAGTTTGTAGAGGTGGTGGGCGCCGGCATTGCTGCTCAGATAAGCAAAGTGGACTCACTTTCTGAAAAAGAACAAAAGGATCTGCGTAGGGCGTTAAACGCGCTCCAAAAGAAGGTAGGCTGATCCGCTAAAATATAATTTGTGATACCTAGCTGCACTGTTGTGGAGGCAAGGGTCCTACGGATTGGGGTATCTCTGCTCCTCCGTCCTGCTGCGAAGGAGAAAAATCACCATGCAGCGAACCTTACAATTTGGTGAGCTAAACATTAGAAATCATTTGTTCTTTATGCTTCTCCATTAATCAGCTAATTATTTTTCCTAATCCATAAGTGCTCAGATGTTGTCAAATTTTAACAAGTTAGTGCTTATTAGCGTAAGCTAGGTGCGTATATTTTGGCTTCTTCAAGTACAAAGCGATAGCTTTACACGAAATAAGTAAAATATATTACTTTCATTATACGCTCTGCCAGCCAAATCCACGGATCCTCCCGTCTAAAGTCCGGGGAGATAAGGGGGACGACGGGGTTTTCAACCCGCATATCGCCGTTCGCACCCCCGTCGTCACACCCGGATCTCCCCGTCGAAATTCCGCCAAATTATCAAATTGTCTGCAAAAATAATATCAAATGTCACCTAAAAACGCAATATAAGTTCAAAAATAGTCCATAAAAGAGATAGATTGCCTTTTAGGTCCGTCTACAGCATTCCGAAAAATTCGGATTGCGGAATAATACATATGCCTTAAACATAAACCCAGGATACACCGGCCTCCCCCTGTCGTCACCCCCACCCAGTTTTGGGTGTTGGCAGGGTGGGTTTTCTAGTTATCTGATCCGAATACGTCGCCAGTTAGCAGCATTAGTCGCTAACGCATCATTCGCACCCACGCAAACTAGAACCGTACCATTTTAATGAAATATTGGATGCTCCGAAAGCCATTGCAACAACCTATGAAGCGCAAAGTCAATAAGACTCGTACAGTCCTCAGTTTTGTTATTTTTTTCATTTGTGGTAATTTTTGATTTCATTCACTCTTTTTTCATGAAACTCAGGATTTTATGAAATAAGGCTTATGTTTGCGTTTCCTGACTACATGGCTTCGATATCTTCATTCCAATAGGGCTGCGCACAAGCTACTTATGATTTGTTAAAGGACAAAGCCTTAATCGTGGGGATTGTTCTCGTTTGCATGGCGATCATCCAACTTGGAGCAATCATTTCAGCCTGCTGCCTAGCCAGAAAAATTGAGGCCCAGACAACCGTCTAAGAGTGATCATCGTCTTTGAAGTGACTGGGAAAACTCCATATTTCTTGAAGCTCTTTCTACACAGCAGTTTGTCAAGTACATCTTCACGCCCGAATGTTCTGCTTGTTTTTTGAGCATCCTTCTGGTTGTCATCATTTTTTCGCCATCCCTTTTACCGGGTTTTCCGGCATTATTTTTAACTTCACCCAAAAAAATTCCTTTCCTGCTATTTTTTAACATAAACATGGAACAACTAAGCTTTTGCTGTTTGTGTCATTTGTTGAAAGTCCTTTGAGGTGTTTCTTTGTCAATTTCCCCTCTGCACCCAAATAAAAAAATTGCATGCATGCTACGCTTATCTCTTCATTAACATACAACAACTGGGCTATTGTCCGCAAGATATATATGTTTATAGTGAGCTCTAAGGCGCAAAGGAACATTTTGTTCCTTTACCGACAAGCCCCCATCTTATAAATTCAGTAACCGAGGTGGTGACGAAGTAGGTTGTTAAATCAGTATGCGGTTTTACTGTTCATTTGACGGTCCTCATCATGCAAAGGCGTTGCAAATGGAATATTCATCGGCGATAGGCTTTAACCCTCGTATATGACTCTATATGATACCCATATAGGTTTACGATATTGTTCATCCAATAATGCTATCCTGACTTTATTATACAGACATTTGTGACATAATCGTACCCATTTGTCCATCTGTGATTTTCAAAATAGCAACTGCGGAATTTAAGTATTGTTATTGTCTGAAATGTACACCGACACTTCATTGCGTGGGCGTGCTTTAATAAAGCTGGCAGATGTATAACCTCTTAAGTCCGACTTACTTTAATTTTTTGTCAGGTATGAAAGAATATGTGCTCTTCAGCATTTTCTAAGTACCGACTTGGGAAATTGCTCAACTTATTGAATGGCTTTTTCGCTGCAGGGAAGACTGTTGGACGATTAACTTGAATTTTTCACAACGTTTAATATCATGCGTGGACCGATGAAAGGCTGGTTCAGCCTAGAAAACCAGCCACATTTAAGTGTCATTGTAGGCGACAAGCCTCCACTATTTAGTGTGGTGCAAGGATCAAGGATCCCCTTCGTCAGGTAGCAACAGTTAAGCGCAGGCAGTGCATTGCGTGCGTAAATTGCTTCCATTTGCAGGTTGCCCATACAGTTCAACGCCTGGGCACTCGTTATATAGAGAAAACCCTAACTGTCTAACGCCGAAATCCTTTGTGCCTCGTCTTTGGTCGCAAAAGAGAGGGCGATCACCGATTCGATGTGAAGGAAATTGGTGCCGTTGCCTTATTATTGCAAAAAAACGCACGAGCAAGTTCCTGGAGGTTTGCCACTCCAATACTAGCCATGATGACTTAGATACCCGTTACGAACACCTATAATCACGGTTTACTGACCACTTACCCCATAACAACTCCATGACCACTAAGCCATTCTCTTCCGCACAGGGAGTCGTACGTTTTCCCTCTCCCCGCTTCGTCACCTTCCATGATTCTGGTATCCAGGTCGTCTTCGGACCAATGTGCGATGTAAAATACGCAGGCACCTTTAAACTGTGCCTTATGCAAGATGTTTTGGTTGACGAAAATTTATCCTAATAGGTGTCCGCTGCATTCAGATATGCGATTTACGGAGGCCGTGTTCGCTTCCACCTGACTTTAGTAAACTCGTTATTTGTACCTGCTCGATATACCTATTAACACAGGCCTCGCATAAGGATGTTGATCAAACACATGAAAGTTCTTTGAACGCCAGAAATGGGCTGATTTTCAGAGTCTCACTTTCATAGCGAAAGTGTACGTCATCGAATACGAAGCACGGTAGCGTCAGTGAGATATTCACCGCACGGATAGTTTATCAACGGCTGACACTGGGGGCTTACTCATGCCAGAAAGAACCAAGTCTACTTACATGCATTGGCGACGAGTTGACAGGTAAACGAAGCCTGTATGCTTTTGATTCGCCAGAAAAAAATCATACGTCAAGGGCCGCTTGTGCAACAAGCGGCACAAGTCAGTTCTTAGTCAAAAAATCTTTTGTTGAAACGACATAACGATGGAGCAGTCCTGCGGCAAAGATTGCCTCAAGTATACCCTTGTCGTATGTAATACACTGGTTTTCGTAAGTGCATAGTAAATTGCAGTTTAGTTTTTTATGTTTTTAACCTAACTGTAAGGTTTCGAAGCAGAAATTCGAAATTATTTGCCTGAAAACCTACGTTTCTTTTCATAGGCATAAGTCGAAAATAATCCAAAATTTCTGTTTACGCTGGGTTTCTCTGGGAAAGGCGAGAATATTTAAAGGGTGCTAGCACTACTCTACGATAGTTATCCACTTTCGATTGTGTATCGAGGAACATGCATCAGACGATTGCCATAGAAATGTTTTTCTGTCAATTATAATATACAGATATCTTCTCCTCATATCGACTTGCACCTATTCTCTACTCTCTGTCGAATTAATGGCTTTAACGTAGTAATCAGAGAAGCAAACACAGGACATGATTATTTTTAAATCTTGAATCTTAATATTGCAAAGCGTTAACGGATATACGACGTTACACTTTGAACTTGCGATCTGAAACCATTGTTAACCAATGAGTCTGTGGAGGCAGGCACCGTGATGTATTTAACTGTCCTTAATGAAACAACTGAGGGTGGACAAGAAAGTTTATACATCATAAAGATAACGAAAGATAGCCTTGTTGTGCCAATTCAGAAAACGCTAGTGAGCGATTATGAGGGGTTAGAGTTGAGATCCCGCTTTATATTCTTTGTGACTCCAATTACTTCAGTATTTCTTCATTACAGCTCCTGGGTGGCGTTATAACCGGATTTGGGATTTACTTTGTTGTGGAAGCAGAGAAAGATATTTATTTATTTGATGTTGGCATTCCTGCCCTCTTCCTAACAATGGGCCTGGTATTGCTTCTGGTAGGATTCGTGGGCTGCATTGGAGCCTGAAAGGAGCATAGATTCATGCTACAATTGGTAATTGTTTTTTGAAATATCCTCATGCAATTTTTCAGTTTGCTGCAATTATTATTATTCTACTGATAGCCGAAATTGTCGCTGGAGCATTGGTTTTTGTCTACAGAGGCAGGGTAAGAACTTTTAAAATGCGAACACGTCTGCTGCTAACTTAAAATAGTTCGTAAACCTGGTGGCATATGGCCTTGCAAGCCAAATATCGCAGCTGAAGAATTTCAATACAACACAATACGAGGACATCCGGGAGGCAATTAATGTGTTTCAGGAAAAGGTAAGCTGATCAGTTCTATGATAATTCATCATATTTAGCTCCAATGTTGTGGCGGTTATAATGCTAGTGACTGGGGTACACCTTTTCCCTCCTCCTGCTGCGCTGGCAACCCTGCACAATGCACAAGTCCATACGAGCAGGTATGAAAAATAATAAATAACTAGTTATCTTAATATATGTGGATGAAGCACTGAGGTACCATGTTGCGTTTACTTTATAAAAATTTTTATAACTGCAAATTCGCTAGGACTGACGAAATATATGTGTTGCACACATCAATAAAAACTTAAGCATAAAATTATTACTATAAGTAAAACAAATTTAGTGAATATCTCCAAATATTTTTCAAGCAATCAGATGTTTATTTCAGTGTATATATATGCCCATACACGTATTCGGTCGAAATTGGACAATTTTACTCTTTTTAAGGAGTGCTTTTTGTACAAAGTCGCTTCTCCTCAAGCATCCCAAGAATAATAATGATAATGGAAGAAACACATTTGATGGTATTTTTCAAGAAGATTTAAATAATTCTATCCTATCAATCTCCGGGGATACCACAGGTTGCTAATGCATCCCAAATGCCCACTTAGATTGAAGACTGATCAGTTAAATAGCTATGTTTTTTTAGTTGCTGAAAAAACCTTCAAAAGCCTTACTGTGATGCATGTTTCTGCGAAGGTCCGCTTTTATTTTATCAATCGCAATTTCACACGGAACATATGTTTTTATGCTTTTCTCTGAAAGGGTTGCGCACAAGCTCTGTATGATTATATAAACAAGGAATCCGTAAGCGTTGGCATTATCCTCTTTATCATGGCGGTCCTACAACTTGGAGCAATCATTGCCGCCTTCTACTTGGCCAGCAGTGCTCGCGAGTACGAAAAGATCTAAGCCCTATCATCGTTGTCAAGGCAACTGAAAGAACTCGCTAGTTTCTGGATCACTATGTAAATACTCGTCTACCAGTTGCAACTTAACTCTCAACCGATGTACCTCATCCGTTAAGAATCATGCTGCAATGTAGAATTTGCTGTCTCTCCCTTAATATTTTCTCATGTATCCTTACACATTTGCCAAAAAATAAAAAGGTCATTGGTACAGTTTTTTGTTTTACGTTAAAATGTAAAAAAAGGTTTCTGGTCCCGACGTAAGATGTCAATTAAACAGTGAGCTTCCGCATAGGTCGTTATAATGCTGGACTGTAAGACTACACAGTGGAGGATTCATATCACAAGGGGAATTCTGGTGGGATGATTTAGCGCGATTTGCCTTCAGTAGCCTTTACGGTAGCAAGTAAAGCCCATACATCCATGTGAAATTGGTGTTCCCCTAAGGCTGTCCCATCAACAATTCAACAATTCGCATATAAAATTTGTTATGCATACATATGTTAGCCCAGTTCACACAGTAGAAACCGATTTTTAGCCGGCATTTTTCATTTGAACTACAATAATGACGTCATCAGCGCACGACGCTGGCATCAATTTGAAGGAAGTTCAATTTCGACTACATTTTGCAACATATTTAGGCACATTTCTCCAAAATGTGGACGATTGTACTCTTCGGTCATTACGCTTTTGCTTCTTCGGTGTTGTATGCTTTCTGTGCCTTATTTTCTGCATGGTGAATAGAAAAAGCTTTTTCTGAAAATTCTGGAAGGTTATTTTCAAAATAAAGCGTATTTCTCTCCCTCTCTCGTCTTTGATACTCCAAGGTTATTGATGTCGATCTTTTTTAAGGTGCTGAACCATCCAAGCCTATGAAGCATTGTATCTCCTAGTTTAAGAATAATGCAGTTACCAGTCTCTAATACTTTGCCAAGTCAATGCTGAATGTGTTAGGGACTTGAAATGGCGTTTGCGCGTTAAAATAGCAAATAGTTGATATCTGAAATGACAGGTTCCTCATATTTCTAAGCCCTAAAGTGTGGGCAGCGTAGCAGTGTAAACCGCACAAAAAATTAGTGACGGTTGGTGGCTTAACCATATAATTCAGAATAAATGTCATATCATTATATGGTGAGGTTGTCTCTAGCGGTCTTTTTAGGTCCTTATGTATTATAGCTAACTACTTAAATTTTTAAGTAGGTTGAATTACCTGTAAACTTCTGGTTTTCTC